CACGGGGCCCTTCCGAAACCAGGCGCGTTTTGGCGTCTGACCCAACGGTAGCGGTACCGTTTCGGACCTTAGGCACCAAGGCAGCGCCTTGGGCCAGGTGCACAGGAACAGGGCCTGATCCAGGCCTGACACGTTTTGGCGCCTGCTGCATCAGCAGCATGGTCTGGACGTCCGGTAGGGACCCAGACCAGCTGGGCCCTTTCTAAGGCCAGCACCAGGTAGGTCCAGCTGCCGAGCGCTACATATAGCTGGGCAGCGGCTGGGCCAGGGACAGTTCGGGTAGCTCACTTCTCGAGAGACACACTGCTGGACCAGCGCTGCAGCTTAACGCTGCGCTGAGGACTAGAGGTAGGGGAGTAGGTAGGAGAGGGCAGAGGCCATACCTGCGGATGGCGGACTTACCCGGCGCCATCGCTGGGACTCCGATCACGACCTGCACAAGATAGCACACAGCAGTCAGCATCCTGCAGGTGAGATAGCAGGGAAGACAGCCTCCTTGTCTCCCCTCCATCTCTCTCTCTCTCTCTCTCTCTCTCTCTCTCTCTCTCTCTCTCTCTCTCTCTCTCTCTTTTTTCTTCTTCTTCTTCAAATACGAGAGTGAAAGAGGTTACAGGAGAAGGATACAGGCAGGGGTCACAGTGGGCACTGCGCCCAGGATCGGATTCGACATTTCTGAGGCAGACATTGATTGCACATCGGCAAGGGACTATTTTTGGACTTCGCTATTGCGATCTGGGTTTCCTCACTCGCCTCCAGCTTCGTCTCTCCTCTTCCCCATCTCTCATCTGTGGTACCTCCCCATGTGTGTGTACAAGGAGGGACCTTTCTTCTTTGTGCGCGGTCCCTCCTCCTCCTCTCACATGTGTGATGTGTGATGGGATGTCATGTCAGTCCCCGTCAGGTCAGGACTTATCTTTCTTTCTTTTTTTTTTTTTTCTTTTTTTTTTTTNTTTTTTTTTTTTTTCTTTTTTTTTTTTCTTTTTTTCACAGGACCTTATGGCCCCGGCTCCTTTTCCATTCTGGGAAGCATCGGTCTGGTTCCTATTCCACCGGCAAGTCAAAAGAATAATACATCATAATTACAGACACATGCTTCCTTCCGTACGGCCGAAGGACCCCTGACCAGCATTGATTACTCCATCTGTATGGAGGACTGACTGTCAGCTTGCCGTGCTATACCCTAAATTGTAATGACCCTCCATAACACAGACTGAGAACACTGCTGATTTCCGAAGTTCTGCTGATGGAATGGATGCCTTGCTGAGATTCCCGCATTCTGCTGTGTTTTCTAGGTCTGTATGTGTGCGTGCCTGTTGACTTGTGTGCCTGTCTGAGTGCTTGTCGGCATGAGTGAGTGTGTGACCCGCAAGGGTACTTGCTTGTTTGGCAGGCCCGTAGGCCGGTACTTACCTGTGGCCATGGCATTGAGGGTTGCAGCAGGGGAAACACTCAAGTGGCGGAGCCAGAGGCCCGCGGCCCTTGGAGTAGCAGAAAAAACACTCAAGTAGCAGGTAGGCCGGTACCGCACCCAGTAGCAGTAGATGTGAGGGGTACTCGAGGCCGAGCAGAAGAAGACAAAGTTGGCATTTTAGAGGCCCAGTAGCGGTGGGCGAGGTCTAGGCTGGTACCAGTCCATCCAGTCTGAGTCTAGAGCCTGTACGGGCAATATCAGAGTCTGCAATGATGTTTCCCTCCGAAAGGGAGGAGGTACCGGTTGCTTGGGAGGCTGAGCGGCCTGGAAGTCACCGCCCAAGAGGCAAGCAGGCTGCTATATCATGAGGCAAGAGCTCGGCCTCAATCTTCAGTGTGCAAGTTCGGCGACACGCTGCTGGAGCGCTGGCTGGAGTAGCGCTGGGTACTACAGCGCTGCTGGCAGGAAGAAGCCGGGAGGAAGAAGCCGGGAGCTTCCACCTTGGCTATGGTGGAGATTTACCGGTAGGAGGAGGAGGGAGAAGGGGACCAAGGAGGAGAGTGGAGAGGTACTTACCTGGCTATGGTGGACACCATCTTCATCACCTTGTTA